CACGTTACAGGTTAGACTAGATGAACCTTATGGTTCCTTCCAACTCTACCCTCTATGTTTGTAGGAAGTGGGCCAGAATGCTTTTTCAGGCATTCCTTTCTCTCTCTTCCTTCCCATCCAATAGATGTCAGAGAATTATCTTCAAGGAGCTTTTCTCCATTTCACCTCATTTGCCATTCTTCTTCTCCTGCCATTCTTCTCTATTGTTCCTGCCACTTTGCGAAAGGGGTGCCCACTAGGAATGTTTGCAGGGTGTGGTCAAAAAAAGTCAAGATGGCAGTCTCAATGGTGCAACCGAAGCTCCGCCTGTTTCACACATGCAACACCCATAAAAAACAGGCAGAGCTTGAATCACTTCCTCATGGTGACCATCTTGACTGCAGACAGCCGAGCGCTCAGAGTTCTGACTCATTCCCTTAAGTGTAGAAGGCCCAGATCATAAAGGAAGATGTTCTTTATCCATTACTTGCTAAGCATAGTTACAGTTTGCTTTTCTGTTTTACATCTGCAACAATCCTATAAAACAACTATTTTACAATTGCACTCATCACAGAGCTGGGATTCAGTTCTTTAAAATACACACTAGGATTATCCATCCAATTTAGCCAAAGTGAGACTCAGGGATCTTTTGAAATATATCAGTCCTGAACCTTTCGCATGCTTTACTGGTGATCTGGAATCTGGAGGATGTAGCCAAGGGGTTTGCAAAAGCTGATTATTTTTTTTCAAGTTAACTCCAAGAGTGAGAGAAGAGGCAAAGGTTTGTGACTAATACCCCTGGTTTCTAAGCACAGTTTTATCAGGGCTCTTCAATCAAGATGATTTGGAGGAAGATGAACTAATGGAGCATAACATTCTGGCATTCACTCTCCCAGGAGCAAGAAAATTAAGAGATTTGAAGGTGAATGTGGAATCCAGGAGGTTACAACACTGGAGACTTGGCTGGAAAAAGTTGGATATTCATTGTTTCAGTATACGGTATGCATTTATCCTATTACACTATCTATGACTTCTGAATGACAACAAAAAACCACAAAACCTTAATCATTTGTATTTTGCCGTGATTTTCCTGACCCTCTCTTTCTGAACTGTTTGCAGATCTGTTGACCCTGTAGATAACTCCACTTTCTATTACTCTAACAGATTATGATGAAACAGGCTGTTGGGGGGAAGCAAATTAACTTTCCCACCCTCCAAAATATTTAAACCTTTCCAGTAAAACTATCAACCAATCCTTCTGAAACTTTGCAGACTTCTTATATAGAGTTCCCTTTGATGCCCTCTGCCATTTTCATAACAATTAGTTTCAAAAAAGAAACACTGGTGGAGGAAGAAATACATCTTTTTAAAGAATATTCAAACCCCTTTCTTCCATAACATCTGAATCTCATGTTCGGCAGATTTGCTATTTCAGAAGGTCCAGATTTGTGTAGATTGCATCTAGTTCAACATCAGAATAAAAAAATGTTATCAATAGGTTTCAATCCTGTTCCAAATAAAACAAACCTCAGAGATGCAATTTTGCCAAAACACATAGGAAATACCATGATTTCAGAATCTCAGACTCAGGCCCTGAGCTAAGTCCAGAGGAGAAACGAGGATGTTTCCAAGCTATCATCAAATAAAGGTCTGGATGGAAGCTTGTGGTTGATATACACTATTCATAAACACAGATTAGTTGCTGTACAGTTTATTTATTTATTTTTATTTATTTTATTTCTCTTCCACTGGTATTTTATGACCTTCTGAATTTGGCAGAAGAGCAGGCACACCTGGGCCACTCAGAAAAACATTTTTCTACTGATTAGTTAAAACCAAATTTTCAGGAGCACCAATAAATGCTGGTTGTGCCTCTGAAAGCAGAGAAACAGCTTTTTCATACAACTGGACCATCCACTTAAGCATCTGCAACTTTGTTGGGCCAAAAATCTAAAACCACATTTAATGTTAGGGCCTTTTCCTTCTTTGTTTCAGTCTCAAAGAAAGGAGGGTAAAAAAGAATGAGATTCGGGCCAAAATGAAGTGGGAAAAAAAAAGGAGGGGATCTCCCATCCTCTTTCAGAATAGGCTCAGTTCACATCAACTGACTCTGTGCTCCAGTCGCCATTAGGGCTGCTTTTGAATTAAACCATACTGAACCATCTGTTAAGGGAATGGATGGAGATTCCTAAACGCTTCCTGCATGAGATGAAACCTCCTCCATCAAAGGTTTATTATCAGGAATGCCTTATTCTGAGAATCAGTTGTGGGCACCCTCACAAAACGGCCTTCACAGGGGCCATAACCCCTTACAAAGCACAGGTTTACTGGAAAGATACTTGACATTTGTCCTAATATCTCCAGTTTGCATGGTCCTTTTCCTGAGCAGATGAAACTACTTCCGAATGAAGACCTGGTCTGCAGCCCCCACCCCCACCCCCCAGGATTCTGATTTTAAAACAAAGCTTATGGGATGCCCACAGGTGTTCCTGCCAGCAAAGAGGCTGGAGGGTGACGCTCTGCTTTGCAACATGCAGGCTTCTCTCCCTTGTCCCCTTAAGATTAAAACATTTGTTGAACAAATGTAAACAAAACAAGAAAACTTGGCTAGGAGCCTGGCAGGCAGGGAGGGAGGGATCCTGCGACATGGCTACCCCCAGACCCCTCACTGAGGACCCCCGGTCTGACGCTGTCCCTTGGAGAAAGGAAGCCAAGTGATGTTTGCAAAGTTCAAAAGTGCAAACCGTCAGCATAAACGCACACATGCTGCATCTTTTAATTCCATGGTGCAGCCTCCAAATCCACAGCACGCAACGCTGCAGCAACCTTTCACTCATTTTAGGGTGGGAGAACTTTCCCCAGATTTGTGTTGATTTTTCCCCCCTATAATCAATGCATCCTATCTTCCCCCATCAAACCTGGAGCACCCACTGTTCTAACACAAAAGCCACCGAGCTGAGATGTCTACATTCAGCAGCTTTTGTCTTTCCATCTAGACTTTAAAAGTCATTACAGGTATCTTCTTCCCAGCAGGAATGAGCCCGTGATCCATTTGCTGAACTTGCTAACAGAACCCACACCGTCTGTATTAAAAGCAAAACACTCAAAACATGTGTATTGCACATCAACGCTATTCAGAAGTGACACTGCTCAGGTTTAAAAATACTTTTAGAGCTGAGTTTATGAAACAGTGTTCCTAATAGTGTTTCCGTGTATCAAAACAAAGAGTCTTGCTCAGCCAATCCTTTGCATGTTTGCTAAGAAATTACCAATGCATAAAATGAGGCAGGATCAGTCCTGGTTTGGGAGACCACTAGAAGATCAAGGTCAAACTATTGCCAAATACAGAGAGAATTATATTCATAAAGTCACCAGGAGTAAGCATGCCTCAAAGTTAAAACTGCAAACACCTAAAAAGTAGGAAACTCATTTCTGTGTAAGTATTTACTATACACTTCATTAATCACGCAGGTAAGCAGCGCAAAACCATTTTAAAATATCTTTTCACTTTCTGGATTCAAGTTGTGCATTTCCCCCTACTCAGCTTAGAGGAGGCTACCGTAAAAGACATTCAAATAACTGCCTAATAAATATGAATCAGAATATTAAAATTAAGGCTAAGATTCAGAATTTATTATATTAAGAATATTGGGGGGGGGAGTATATTCACGACTGTGAACAGACGTATCCAAAAGTACAAACTTGTTCTGGGGAAAAATTATGAGAAGTAGAATGCAGAGTTTCGTTGCCTCCTGTTCTTCACTACCCCAGGTCTCCTAGTGTCCAGCATTAAAATGTAAGCTTGATATGCATAATAATAAGGAAGGAAGCAAGGAGAGAAGATGGCTATAGCCCATTTGGGAAAGCGTTCTGATTCCATACTGTGAGCAATCTGAAACACAAAAGGGACAATGCTGTGTTTGACCCCCTTGATGCAGATCCTCCATAATGTTCCAGGAACAAATGGAGATCCAGTGGGCCAGCAAAGGTGGGGAGATCACTTTGTCTGGAAGACTGGCGCGAGGAAAAGAGGCTTGTGCGAGCCCATCCACGCTTCCCAGAATGAAATGCAAACTTCATTTTTTAAAAAAACTAAACCTTTAACTGGTGGCAATCTGAGCCAGGCTGAACAGTTTTAACCTAACAGGCAAAGAGAAGGCTATCTAGCACAAGAATCTCCCCAAATAGGTATTTTGTTTTGAGTTCTTTTTAATGATTTGAATGAGACCGCCACTCCAGGAGAGTGCAAACAAGTTTTTCTGCAACACCCCAACTCTGATTTATTCATCTAAACATCAGGACTCTTTGGCAAACAATGCCAGATGGAAGGGAAGCAGATAATGGATTTTTTTTTTTCCTGTTTGCCTTAGAAACGGAACAGCTGTAGGTAGCATCATCATAGCAGGGCCAGCCAATAACTTTTCATCTTGTCGTCCTGTATCAACCTGAAGCCAATTTAATCTGATAATGGCAAGGAAGAAAGGAAAAGGAATATAGATATAGGAAAGTTTTTTAAAAGCCAGGAACTCACTCTAATTCCCCCTGCCTTTTTGAATGCAATTTGCTTGAAATGACGAATTATAGGATTTGCACCGTCTATCATCCTTCCCGGATCCCAAACCGAGCATAAATTAAGCCTGTTTAAGCTACCTATCCTATAGCAAGTTCCTTGGGTGTCGGCCCCAATGGGGGGTCGCTCCGTTAAGCGATCGGGAGCAAAAGTCAGGATGTTCGAGGGGACTTTGCTGGGTCTCCCCCCGCAAAAACAGGCACAAATCAAAGCGGGTCCCCCAGGAGAAATCTATGCAGGGGCAATTTTTTTCCTCCAAGTTCTTCCCTAGTCCTTCATTTCGTCCTTGCTCCGCGCACTTTGCGGGTTTCCGCGACTTTCGCTGCACTCAAGTCGGCCCAAAGTCAAGAAGAACTTCTCCGCGCTTGTGTTCCCCGAGTGGGGTCGGCTCAAAATCTTAGCGTGACCCACTTCCCCAGCCTCTTTGGCTCCTGGTCCCCCGTCACCTTACCTTCGCACACGACGGCGAGACTCAGGGCCCATCTGGCGAGAGGCATCTTCCCGGGCTGCAGTAATCCGCACGTTTTTCGGCGGCGTTCGCGGGAAGAAGCTGGGTCGAGACCCCACGCGGCTGTTCCGTTCCTTCCTCCCCGCCCTAGGCTCCCTCTTGCGCGGGTTCGACCCTGCTGGGGCGGCCCCTGGTCGTGCCTCAGTCCGGGCGCCCCATACTCGGATGAGCAGCCCGGCCGGCACTTGTTACCAAAAAGGGCCCGGGCAAAACTCGGGTCTGGCTGCTGGCGCTTGGGTTGCCTCCTCCGGTCGTGAGAACGGTCGCCCGCTCCGCGCCGCTTCTCCCCGCCTCTCGTCCGCATAGATCGGCTGGGGAAAGGGAGAGCCGCGGACGCGCGGCGGGGAAAGCGCGCGGAGAGCCACCTGCCGCCCGCTGGCTCGGCAGCCGCGAACTGGGGCGGACAGGCGGCCGGGCGGGGCAGTTCGGCTCCGCGCTGCAGCCTCCGCGCACACCCGCGTCGATCTCCGGCTTCGGCCACGCGAGCGAGCGAGCGAGCTAGCCGCGCGTCGGGCGGGGCAGGAGGCGAGGCGGCTGTGGCTGCCCGGCGCGGGGACCCGGTTTGAGCGCTCCGCTCCGCTCCGCTCGGCTGCGCCTGCTGCCGGCTGCCGCCTGGGGCGCTCCGAGGC